TCGTACGGACTCCCCGCGAATGAGAGCATCATGCTCTACGTGACCGACGGGTTCGGGGCTGAGCGGGGCTACGCGTGCTCCCGCCGACATTTCGACCTCATTTGCACGCCCAGTTCCTCTCAGGGCGCCACATCGAGGAAGCCCCTCTGCACCGCCCCCGATCCTCCCCAGAGGTTCTCTACGATCGTACCCATCCCGCTGGACTCCTCGATCCCTCCCCCGACCATCCGATTCGGTCTGCAGTCTCCTTAGGAAACGTTGAGACGGCAGTCTTCCGGTACCCACTGGCTCTTCATCTTCCCGTGATACGGTTTCGCGTAATTCTCCCGGATACAGATCGCCTGCAAGGTCTCACCCCTGTCGGACGCAGAGTCGTCGAGAAATAGGTCGACCAGCAGACGCCCGAACTTCTCGTACTCGTAAGCGTGTATGTAGAGCATGCTGACGTTCTCCGCGAGCAACCTCTCGATGTCCTTCTTCGAGTAACTACCGTCGACCTCGAAGACGCCGGGAGCGATGAGCGAGAGCATGCGGTTGCGCGCCTTCACGGCCCAAGCCTTCACGATCGGGTTTTTGGACGTCGATTCCGCGCTATCCAGGCCTAGGACCCTACAATTTATCTTATGGACATCCCGGCCTTGGAATGGAAACACTACCGAAATAGTGACCAAATCATGTAAAGACACCGGTCGGCAATATGTCTTTAGCCCTGCGAGAGAGAAGAGTTTCGTAGTGGAATCGAACTTCGAGAGCAACTCGGTTGCCTGTTCTCTATTCATCCTATCACCGAGACAGAAATTTTCTCTTCTCGTTCTTGATCCCCCGTAGCTCGGCAGATCCGCCGGCCCGCCCATACCACCCTATAAGACGCAAGACACAAAGACGCATTTCTGGGGACGGCCCCAGGATCCTGAAATCCCTCGATTCCCGTCCCGAATCTCAAAAACTTTCCAAAAAATGCGTCTTACTGTCTTACTGTCTCGTGATACTAATCACCAGGGAATCCACTAAGAAAATAATTATCGATCTTCACGACAAGACGCTTTATTCTGCTCACGTGGCGCCAATCCACTTTTTAGGGTAGGGTTTTAGGGTAATAGGATTATAGGGTTTTCAGAATTTAGGGTTTTAGGATTTTAGGCTCGGTGGGTCAGGCTTGGTGGGTCAGGCTTGGTGGGTCAGGCTTGGTGGGTCGAGG